CTCGATAATTCGCGTTAACTCCCCCCCCCCCTCTCACCCCGTCCGTCACCGACGTCTATTACCTGCTAACGAATCGTTACTGGCGTTTACGATGGACCGTAAAGTCTTTCCGTCCTTTCGCCGGCACGCTACACCACGCCGTGCCGCCGAATCCCTCCCTCCCTTTGATACTCATGATAAATTTCGCGTTTCACCAGAACACAGGGGCGACAACCTCTTCCGTCGCTACGTTCCTGGTACGCTCCTCGGGCCCACGTGTATTTTCATGTACACCAACGGGTGAATAATACGTACATGTATACCCGACGCTCCCGTGAGGCATCGTACATGCGAAGAAATATGTAATGGGTAAATGTGACTCACCGGGAACGTGTCGCTGGCTGATTCGGGTTCTTCGAAGGTAGGAGCCATGGGAGAAGGAACGGTCGATTACTCGTGATCAAGGGGAAAGAATTACGTTTCTTCCGGATCCTGCAAAAGAAAGTAGGCTAAATTTAAAAATTTCGGAAAGACACTGTTATCGATGTTTCAATAGAATTATGTAAAGTAACACACAGGTAGGTTGGCATGAATCGTCCGCGTGCTGCGTTTCGTTGTCACGACAAACATTTCGCGTGGGCGACGTGTTTTCTGCTCTAGGAAAAATCATCGGATCGATAGAACACGGTACAGAACGATATGAGTCACGCGAACTCGTGTACGTAACCCGCGACTGAAATTCCAGCTGATTGCTCAATTTCGAGAGTTCGCGGCGTTGCAACGGATTCCCCCCTCTCCCCCCTCACCCTTCGGGTACATACATATGTACATAGGGGAGTTCGAAACCCCATTCATCTTTTTCGTTTCTTGTAATTTTTATGGTAACAAAGATACATTGTGCAGGGTCGGTAACAATGCTTTCTGCGTGCTGAAATATCATTGAGGGTAAATATGCAGAAGCGACATTTCGCCACCTATTAGAGAAATGGAAAACCAACACGATAGTTTTCAACTAAATTATTGAAAATTTAAATCGTTTCTACGGTGTTCTATCCAAACTTCGTAACAACGCTTTTCGCTGTTCAAACATACTACATATTCCAGTTAATCTGCTGAACGATGTCAAAAATTCGTTCACGATGTGAAATGCGAAATTCCCGCAATTGGTTGCGGCGTTTTCACGAATCAGGATATGTGTATATATCGATGCTAATTGCGTTTCCGAGAAACAACCAATGAAACAGTTTCCGGCTAACCCGTGACGCACGGTTTTACCAGAGATAAATTAAGGTGCAAGATACATAATCGATAGAGGGAAGGACATGCGGCAGCCTCGGCCGATCGTAAAACTGCGAGTCCGCGAGACTGCGATAGCACGTTGCTCGGTTAGGAGTACGTGATTAGAAGAGATTCTCACCGTGGTGTAAGCTGCTGACATTCGCTTTAAACAAGCGCGTATAGCACGTGGACCGTTGAAACGCACGCGCATACAATGCAACGAGATCCTTACGTAACACTCGGTTCGCGTGCTTCACCGGTTAATTCACGAACTCGCTCTTACGGCTTCTCTCTCTCCCTCTTTCCACTTTTCCCACATGAGCTCTGTCCCGCTCTTACGCGTATAAGTTCGACACCCTTGTTACTCGGTTTGTATTTTTTGTTACGTATAGAGGAAATCGATGTTAAATTCGACTTACCGTTGTTAATATACAAAAATAATAAGTCATTTCTAAATGAAAATAAAATCTCTATTAAATAACGACAGATTAATAAAATGCTATTTGAATTTCTAGTAGAGTTCTTTCAGTTCAGGTGGCGCTAAACGTTATTCGAATTTCCCCCCTTTTTTCAATTTATACCTTTAGAACGTAACAAATATTCAAGACAAATTTTAAAATACAAGAATAAATCTTTTAATGTTGAAGAGAATTTCTTAGGTTTGACTAACATTTATTGTTATTTGAATTAGTCGTCTTTTCGAAGTATTTTATAATAGTTTGAGTAGGTATGACAAGAAATTGTGGCACGTTGACAAATTTCAAAATATACATTCGCTTGGAGAGAATTCACCAAATCGGAACAGGAAACGTGAATAATTGGGAAAAACATGCAGTACATACCTATTTGTAGAGGTTTGATGGAGGACGCGGAGTATATGTCCCTTCGTCACAGATTTCTTCTGCACTACGCACTAAATATACGCGGTACTAAACGAATTTCACACAATCGTGATTCACATACTCGAATTACGAACAATTTGAATACATTTTATGCAATAAGCGACTTTTTTTCCAAGTTTTCGCACAAGCAGGATGAGCACTCCCGACAGTCCCGACCGTTGACCGTTACTACCTCAAGGGCAATTGTGCCTCCGATTCTCGAAGTTTAATTTCGATTCTCGAAACTTTTCAACGATATCGAAACTTTCCTGCGATATCGAAAATTTTACGCGTGAGATTATAGGTGGCGACATGAGTACACTTGAATCTTTTCCAACGATTAGTATTTCTACTATTACGTCCTTATTTCATTCTGAAAACGATTAACACCCTTACTCCGATAATCACATAACTTTGACTTTCTAATCAGTGTTCACTTGAGAGTCTACTCAATGCGCTATTATCGTTCTTTCAAGGAAAGAAAAACATGTACGTTTCCGTGCAACGTACATACATTCCCGCCATTTTCGTATTACAGATGCCGAAGGTTGGATAAACAAATATTTTCATAATACGGTACGTGAACGGCAGATAGCAATGATGCAGCGTGTGTCGCATTTCGCGGGGACGCACGTGTTTCCTTATGTAACCGCACCTCACGCCTCGGATTAATGTTCGCACGTTTTCATAGTTTCTTAACCAATGAATACAAATAGAAATTATGTATTTCTCGAATATACGAGAACTTATTACTTAATTAACAGATAAATCCTAGATAATTCAACGACTTGCTATGAATTATCATCAGGTTAACCATTATCGTGGAAGTCACGAGTCATTTTTTCCTCTTAGATCGAAACAAAGTTGCTTGCTGTATCGAGCGTTATCGTTCCCAACGTTTATCACTGGCAATTAACACGTAACGAGAACCGAGCACAGTACGGATTTGCGGAAATGCTTACACGAGTGAGTACTAACTTACATAATAGTACCGCGTGCCCGGAACCACACGCGTCTTTCATTTTTACAACGCCGATATCGCGCTGACAACAAGTCTTCGCGATAGTTAGGTCACTTTGCACTGACCATCTGTCACGACGTCGAACCGCGCATACTGTACATTTACCTTGCTGATCGAGGAATCGGAAGAACCATAACTTATTTCTTTAAATTCACCCATGCACCGGTCGTTGACCCTTTGGGGAAACATCAATGCGACACGATTAGATTGGACAACTTTGGGCAACGGTTCTGTGGTGGGAATCTTATGACTTATGATTCTTTACAGCGCGTAAGCGCAATCTGTAGGCTTCTTCGGAGAGTTTAGAGAGGCCCCCAATTGTATAGGTTATTTCTATCAGTCACGCCACCTTGTGAGTACTTGCTTAACTCATTGGTTGAAGCTTTGTGGGCACGGGACGTTAGGTGTTTAGATTCGAAAGTCGTCTAGTTGAAATACTTTATTATTTATTTGCTTGATAAATGTTTATTGACGATTCAACTGGCAACGCCGTTGGGTTCGGTGACACCCTCAACCTTGTTGAGCGCGACCTTACCCAAGGCTATTTTGCGACTTCTCTGGCTGTTGGTCGAGCAAGTGTTGGCATTGCGGGCACGTCGATCTCTCGTAATTCTTCACTTTTGGCCATCGGTGCCACTCTCAGGTATAACGGTTACGAAAGCTTATAAATCTCAACTCCTTGGATCTATTGTTGCCCCGTCTAGGATGATCTTGAAATTTTTTAGAATACAAATACAGATGCAGGACAACCTTCGTAAATGCGTGTAAACTTTTTATGTAGGAATCAGATGCCCTAATTGGTCCATTCTTACAAGTCACTTTTTATCGCTTGCACGCAGCAAGGATAATTAGACCGGTGAATGAACAATTGTTCTAAGAATGTCTGATTATCGTTGTTTGACGTCCTGTATCAGGTATGACGCACGGTTTTCATAAGGATGCGTCATCGAATTAACAACGTACAGCGGTTTCGATTACATTTCAGAGGTATGGGCCATATTATAATTATTACGCATGCGTCAGGGACATGGAATGATAGCATTGACTCACGTCGCAAAGTTGGTTCTCTAGTTTGAATTCAGGAAGGTATATACGCGACTGGTGATCACTGTAGATCGTAATCTGAGCCCGCTGCGTAATCGTCCACTAGAAAAAGGCAGTTGAGGAGGTCAGCCGCAAGTCTGCCTCTTTTCTTCCTTCTTCCTGATTCCGTATCGCTCGACCTTCTTTTGTAATGGTCCGTCACTCGACGGTCGCGTGACCATGCCGTACAAGGACTGCGTTTCGTTCGTGGCTGGTATCGCAAATGAGTTTACTAGAACGTACTTCATGTGACTTTGGATTAATAAATGTACCATTTAAAAGTTTGAAGGACTTCTGACCCTAATGGGAAACGTTATACGTTTACAATGCGGGGTTGACCATATTTACTCCGTATTCTCCATTCCTAGCGTTATCAATTGGTCGTTACTATCAAAAGAAACGGCAAACATGAAACGATCATCCCAAACAAACAGTTGTTAATGCAAATACACATATAGTGTCTGATCTATTCACGTGATTCGTGACTTAACTGAACGTGTGTCGCTAAGCTCCCCAGTATCGTTGTCATCGTAATCGTTTGGCACGCGGTGTGTGGTTCGTCACCGCTGTTAATAAACTCGTCCCGTTGATTCGAGAGTCGTTCTCTCTAGTATCTGTCACTGTAACCGACTGACGGATAATACAGGATTCCATTAATTCCGCCAGATTAGTTTGGTTCATTCGATAACATACCAGATCGTATGCAAATTGTCATTTCTCTGTTGTAATTCTGTCTCGTTTTGTCCGCAGATGTACTAAGAAGACAAATTATGGTGGCAGAACTTGTCGCCCGTCAGAGTGGATCGCCCATCAATGGTGAGACCGCGTGTTTGAACAGCAACATGCCGGCCACCCACTCCATGGCGCATGCCGGTCACGGTGCCCACGGCGGCCATGAGGCCCATGGCCCTATGCCGCCGTTGACGCACCCCGGGCACCATGCGGGCCCTCCATCCATGCAACAACAGCAACATCAACATCAGCCCCAACAGCCTATGCCGCCGCAGCAGCAACAGCCCCAGCACCATCACCATCACCACCAACCCCAGCAGCCACAGACGCAGCAGCAGCAGCAGCAGCAGCAGCAGCAGCAGCAGCAGCAGCAACAGCTTCATCACCATGACGCCCAACAGGTGATACATCCCGAAAATTTTCCCCCGAACTTCGACATCAGAAAAGAGCTATTTTCTCAGCGCAAGCAACGGGAGTTCATCCCGGACAACAAGAAGGACGACAGCTACTGGGACCGTAGGCGGCGCAACAACGAAGCAGCCAAGCGGTCCCGCGAAAAGAGGCGTTTCAACGACATGGTCCTTGAGCAGCGAGTGATGGAGCTCAGCAAGGAGAATCACATTCTGAAGGCGCAGCTGGAGGCGATCAGAGACAAATTCGGTATCTGCGGCGAATCGGTGATCAACACGGAGCACGTGCTGGCAGCTTTACCATCCGATCCTCCAATCAGCGTTAAAAGAGCAAAACTACCAGCCTCGGCGGCTCTTCTCTACGCCAGGACACCCAGTCCAGTCCACACATCGGTAATCCATCAACCGGTCAGTGGAGCCAGATCACCGAGGTCGCCTGCACAGCTATACGTGCCAGAAACGACAGCTTATCCTGAAACCGAGAGTTTCCAATACCCTTATCCTCATCCAGCGATGCACCTAGACACGACAAGTGCATTGAACCTGTCCCGTGGTAGACGAGCCCAATCGCCCTTCGAATTATCTTCCGGAAGCGGAGACGAGGGTCCCCAGATGGTGGTCAGCTCGCAGAATCTAGCAGCTAACAACAGTCTGCCTCACAAGCTGAGGCACAAGTCCCGCATCGGTGACAAGGATGCAGCTAGTGCACTGTTGGCGCTTCAGGGTATCAAACAGGAACCCGGGCCAAGGGCGTCACCGCCATGGGACAACGAAGGGTCCAGTGACGAACGTGACTCTGGTATATCTTTGGGTGCCGAATGGACTGGTCCGACAGTGTCCGCTGTTCCCGAGAGTGAGAGGGAGGTCAAATCGAGGCTCGACCGTCTAGCTTCCGAAGTAGCCTCCCTTCAGTCGATACTTCGTCTTGGAAAGCCAGGAGCGGAGAGTTTGGTCACAGCTCACTCGATGCCCGTGAGCGGCACCGTCAACGGACCGTGAGACCAGACAGAACGTCCTTTTCTTCGCCATCGGGTGGACAAGCGAAGAACCGTTTTTCCTGCTCGCGCCGTGCGCGACCCTCTTTGTGATCCTCGGACAGATCCAAAAACCCCTGAGCTACGTAGGACACGATACCGGCGGCGACGACGACGACGACGACGACGACGACGACGACGACGATGACGATGACGATGACGATGACGATGACAACAGCAGCAACAACTACAACAACGATTTCTCGAAGTAGACAGAAGATAGATAGACCAGGAAAGACTACCGTTAACTGGAACCGGAATGACTGCGCGAACGTTCCAAGTGTGATGGTTAGTTGGTAGTAGGGTGCATAGTAGTCACGCGATCTTTTTCTAGAGATCTTGGGAGCATGTGTACAGTTTCTTTGAGCGACTACCACCGACTTTGCAGTATTGGTTCAGGGTGCATCTTGGTATCGGTCAATATCGCGCGTAACAAATCGTGCATACAGTTTTTCTCACCGATCGGACAAGCTAGATCAGTCAGATAAGTTAGATAAGATAGTTGCGTACCATACACCTGGCCGGGTGTTTTGCTGGACTTACGTTCAATCGGATAGCTCGCGATCCTGGGTTCATCATCGTTACATGTTCTTGTGACGTAGATTCGGTTGCTGATCGATACACTTCCATAATCGGGACGAAAATTCTATGTAAAGTTCTTTTGTACGTGAAAATAGTCGGCAAGAGTCAATTCGAATCTTAGGGAAAAGTTAGCTGATGCGGACGTTGAAGCGCGCGCGAGGATTGGTTGAATCGACTGTCGTATGCGTTTTCGGATGTCCAAAACCAAAACGCATGGGTCTCCTCCCTGTCCACGTTCTATCGTTACGATGAATTTAGGTGATAAGATGCGATTAGAAGGTGTAAGTAACTTAACGCTGTAAAGACTTTCTTAGGTTATCTCGTTAACGCTATCCATCATTATCGTTGAATTCGAGCTAAATCATAAGCATGCCAGACCTGTGTATACGATTCGAATAGAGTCACGGGATTCAATGTTCGATTCGTAAACGCCTGAGATACGTAAATTCGAGGATCTTCGGACGATTTATAATTATTTAACTCCCGAGAAACCCTGACGAAAATTGACGAAGATCCAATGACTTCAAAGATCCTCGGATTCACTCGGAGGCGTCGAACCTCTCTTGGTGATTGCACGAGTTTCGATTCTCCGATTGGTCATTGATCGCGCAACCGGCTAATTTCACTACCGCCAGTTGATCCCTATCGATTTAATTCCTGCATCGCGTGCAAAGCAATAACTCCTTTCCTATCGACCTCCTGTTTGATTTATTCCTCGCGCGGCACGCATCCGTCTTGATGGAAAAAAAAAAAAAATAGTGGACGCGAGCGTTTGTGATAGTTGCGTCGAAAGTCGATCGACGGGTCAGACTCCGTGGGGTCGATCTGTAAATAACGTATACATACTTCATATCGGGCCTCTCCTCACCCTTCAAATCTCGTCGATTCTTCTTCACGTCGTTAGACCCTTTCCTTTGTTTTCCTCTTTTCTTTAACTTTTTTTTATACTTTTACTATTAACTTGACTGCTGCGTGTGTAAATATGTATGTACAAGCGAGTGGATGCGTGTACATTGTTCGGTGGTGCTTCGAGATTATAGCACCAGGAAGCCTCGACGGGGCAGCGATCGTGCTTTGCTTTCTCTTCGTCGGGACGAACGAAATGGGGAGACACTTGGTCCAAGTATTAAGCGAGCCTATGGGTGTATGTAATTAATATACATATTGCACATATACAAAAAATATACATATATATACGTATATATACATACATACATATATATATATATTTTTTTTTCAAATTAATGTATTTTTCGAAATCGTGTGCGAGAGAGAGAAAGAGAGAGAGAGAGAGTAAGGCGAGAACGGTCTTCGTATGGTGTGTGCGGAAGGCTTTTGTGTCATACGAGCATTTAGTCGAGAAACAAATTTGTTTGGAAACGGAGAAAGCAATTTGATTGTCGCGGGAACTAAAAGGGACTTCTTCGGTGAAATTTCCTGGACGAACGTGTCGATCGATCGTATCCGAGGAGAATGACAGAACCAAAGCGACAGGTTGTTTCGATCGAGCAATTTGTTGTGATTTAACGCGTTGTTATATATTTATAAGGAAGGAGGACGAGAAATCGGATCGTTCGATCAACGCGTTCGGTAACATCCTCCTGTAAGTCAGTGTGATAACTGATGGGTGTTAACACTGCGAGCTTGGCGCCATTTAACATTTCGGAAAGAAACCTTATTTCTAGTGATTATTAAAAATTCAGGTCTTTATGAGAAAGAATTTGTAAACCGGTGTATATTGATTACACGGAGCTAAGTTATAGTTGATAAAATTGTTACAGTAATGATAATACATCAGTCGTTTTGAGTGATATCAATGCGTGGTAAGAGCTCTACCGTCAGGCTCAGAGTGTTAACCCGATGTCGCTCTATTTGTAAAGCATATACTTTTATTTATTATCTTTAATCGCCTACAAGGAGCGACGGAAAGTAGTGTCTACAATCGAAAGCGATAAATACCACCTAATTTCCGATTGAAGGGACTACCTTGTCTGGGCTCCACCTGTGTCACGGGAAACAACTGCGTCAACGATGAATAGTCGAGACCATAATAAAACACGATTCAGCGTTCACTACTTTTTTGTGGCGTTTATAATGTTCGGAGGATCAAAACGATTTTATAGCTGATCAGAAACCGTCGATCCACGGCGTGTAAACGACGTATTCATTTCGTCACGTATCTAGAAGACACATCACAAGACTGTTTTATCGTAATCGGCGTTCTTCGCGGAAGGATCTCGTCCGTGTTTATCTGTCCCCCACCTAACCCAATACTCCCCCTTTTCCCCCCTTTCCCCGCTCGTATTTTTTACGTTACAACCCTCGCGTGAATTTTCTATATTTTATACGGCATGTTTATAATCATTACTATTGCATGGAAACAATGTACTGCGAACAATAGCCGAGATCAAAGAAAGAATATCACATATTCCGAGTAGTGACGATGGCAATCGAGATACGCACCAACTGTCGGAGCAAACGTGACCGTTACTTCGATTCGGAAACCTATCTTTTGTAAATATACATAAATATAAGATCAGTTGAAAATTATCCGCAATGCATTCTTTCAATTTATTAAAACACCGGAGACCTTGCATCATTTCTCGATATAATGTAGCTCTTTAGACACACGTCTTGTCGTGCCACACAAGCTTCTGAACAATATACACGTATTTCCTGCCTTGCGGATAATTTTTTACTCACGAATGTTACCCTGGCAAAGTAACCTTTGGTCGTGGAAAATTCAATTGTCACGATTCATCGCGCAGTTTCGTAGTTGATTCGCTGTAACATACCACGAGTGCCTATAATAACGAAGCTCGCGGGTAAAGCTACGATCCCCTTCAGATCGAAGCGCGTTCTATCTCGGGTGAGGACGATTTCGAAGGGACAGGAGACTATACCGTTTTTTTTTTTGTAAATAATGTTTTGAAAAGCTCGCTGGGATGACGCCATGTCTGCGACGGTCGTCGGCAGGTTCTACTCGCGAAAGATTCCATTATGATCTGCACGTTACCCATGATTTCGCGTACAAGGAAACGCGTCAACCTCGACCACGGCGACCATGAACCAACATTTGTACATAAAAGTAAACGTTGCACCTTTGCCAAAAAAGCACGCTACTCGTGTCGATGAACGTGGCACAAATGTCGACGAAAAAAGGCGTGTGAAAGCATCGGCCGGAGAAGGAACATTTTAATTCACTTCATTTTATTGCCCCCCACCCCTCCCCTTCTTCTGCTACCCACTCCTCTTTTGAATAATAGCTTCTTCGAGGACGTTACGAATAGTTCCTAATACAGTTTAATATGGTACAGCGACTTAGACGATTGGCCGTTGTGTCCACGATAAACATGATTCCAGTACGAGTTTCTTAATTCTCCTCTCTCCGGCTGTACGGAGATATAAGTATTTAGATCTAAGGGACATATCCACAGCGTGTAGTGTACTTGTATATGAATACCGAAATAAATATTTTCAATGTTTTTGACAATAACCGGATGTGTTTGGTCTGTTCGTCATTCAACGTTCGACTGTTCGCAGTAACGATTAACTGCTCGATACCGAGGTCCCTCGGAAGGTAAATATCAAGCGTGGAAAATAGTACGAAATACGTATCTAGGAAACCATATATTTCATACGAAAACAAAATAAGATGGAAAGGTAAAAGTTACTGAAATATACCCAAAAAGGGTATCCAGTAGGCTCACAATGCCTATAAATATGAATGTGACAGTAAATAGATACCACACATTAATACGACAAAAAATATAAAAAATATATCGTAAAGGTAATTTGTACAATTGTAAAGTATCATTATCGATAGTGCTCAAAATTCGAAGTTGAGAACAAAAATAGTATGGCCAGCATAGCCGACAAATCTACGATTGTCTAGGAAAAGATTTCAGTGTGAGTTACAAACTTTCTGATTCTCAAAATAAAAGAAACGATTATTTTGTGTCACTAATTGCAACAAGTAGGTAGTGTTAAGTGCAATGAAAAACGCGTTAACAATCATACGACGATCTTTTCACATTATCGGTTTCTTTGTAAAACTATGCGCTTACAGCGACATTTTCATAATTTTCAATATTGACAATTCCATAGGTAGGCTAACTCCAATTTCTGTTTCAACTTAATTAAATTATTTCCGCTTCTTACATTTGGTTCTACCACGACGTCTGCGCGAGGAGTTTGGACGAGTGTCCGTCTTCTTTGAAGATCTACAAATATTTCGAGCGTCAAGCATGATACTTTTATCTCTAATTAAAGCTACTACCGGTTTTAGTTACCTGTGAACCCTGTTCACTGACACAGAAGTATGCTTCTTTAAGGTCAAGTGTTGTTGAACCAGTTCTGCTAATTTACCTTGTTGAGCGAGCATCGAAAGAAAGGTACAAATGAACTCATCATAATTGTGTGTCCTACGACAATCGTCAATCTGAAAAATAGTAAAAATAGTACTGTATTTTCTAGTTCAAATTTTATAACACTTAATATACCCCTTAATTCTTTTTCCATAAAAAATTCTAATTATTACCTTGTATTTGTTCCTCTTATCATTTTCATCTTTCAAGCTAGTTTCACAAATACTTATTTCATGCTCTAAATTCTTCAATAATGCTAAAAGATCTTTGGGCGCAAACGTGTGTGGTTCAAATAATTCTGGATACTTTGAACATAATTTCGGATCAATTTTTTCAACCTTTTTCTCTTCGGTAACGGTGTCACCGTTACTAGTTTTCACCCTCGCGTGTGGTATTCTAACTTCGCCAGATAAGCAAACCTTTTTGTGTAGGTGGCCGCTGTCAGAGACTAATCTTTTTCCGTTTATATTAATATTCCCAAGAGAACGACCTATTTGCGGAAGTATAATTCGTATAATGGTATAACTTCAAGGTGAAATGTTGTAAGAAACATGTACATACTTAATCCTGCCTCGTTTTTCTCATCCCCAGCCACTCTAATCACAACAAATTTTTTAAAATCTTTTGTGGATGTTGGACTACTCTGACCAGAATTCCAACCCCATGCTACAAGAAAAAAAAATAAATTTTTTATCTAAATTTCTTCCCATTGTTACTATACCTTGACAGGAATACAAAGATGTTCGCATAGGTCAACTAACTGTAAATCGGAGGTGTCAAAGAATATGTGGGGGAACGTGTGAAAAGCAAATAGGAACCATCAAGAGAAGCACTTGTATTTCAGTCCGCTGTAGAACTGTACACGTAACGCGACAGAATGAGTGTGAGAATTTTTATTTTATATTCTATTCTGATAGCAGTTGAATCATCAAAATGTCCGGAACCAAGGAAACCCCATAATGTCAGTTGCACTGTATTTTTCAAATGTGTAAATTTGCCCGGTGGTGGCTACGTTTGGGTACCCAGTAAATGTACAGAAGGCTTGGTAAGACAATCTATCATTTACGAAACTGTTTATAAGAACTTTTATCACATTAATATTAGGTACTGTGTTTAAATTTCTTACATTCTTTTATTGTCAGATATTTCAACCATATCTACGAATGTGTGTTCTACCTGGTGATACTTGGACATGTGACACAGTATCAACAGACTCGTCTATTATAACGAACAGGTATGATACACCTGAACTGATTAATCCAAATGAGACTAGTTACTTAGGACTGACAGAAGATTCTTCAAATTTTTCTGAACTCATTGACTCGTCATACACTACTGATAGTATTCCTGGTGTGTCTGATCGAGAAGTAGTGACACCATACCCTTTAATTGAAATTGAAGAAACAATGAAGAATCAACAAGAAAAAATGACAGAAAATCCAGCTATATTTAATAATCAACAATATCATTCTAAAAAGGAATACTCAATGTTATATCGATTAATGCATCATTTATTGATCTATAAAGAAATCACTATTCCTTTAGAATTTTTAGCATTGTTACCTACACCACCAAAAATTAAAAGTGAATCATCAGCCGAGACTGAACTTTTTCAAACTAATGAGCAGAATATTCTAATGAGTTATCTTATACAGAATCGTATTCAACAGACTAACTCAGAAAATACTATCACAACTAATAAAAAATTACAAAATGGAATTGAAGAGGGTGTAACTTTAAACAGTGAAGACGAGTCAATAGCAAAGATAAGAGCTTCAAATAGTACATTGGAGATCTTACTCAATGATTCAGAGAATGAAAATAATTTGATTTCAATTACTGATCATACTGGACAGAAGCAATATTTAACTACTGATAGGTATAAATCATTGAGCTATCACGTGGATCCAAAATATATTAATGTAATTCCATGTGTAAAAAATGTTCGTATGCCAAATGCAACTGACTGTGTTAAATATTATATATGTGACCCCAAAATGGTCTCTCTAATTCAGTACTCGTGTCCATCTAATACAGCATTCAACAAGTATACTAGAATATGCGACAGAGAAAGTTACAATAAATGTGTACAGAATAAAGATAATTCAAAACTTTCAGAAAGTGGCAATAATACAAACAAAATGAAAATATCAGAAAATGTGTGCACAGAACATGGAAAAACAAAGGACGTTACATCCGAAATACATTATTACATTTGTTATTCTTCTTTGGATAACTCGCATAATTTCAAGTCTATACGAATGATGTGCCCAAATGGCCTAATATTTTGTCAAAGAAAGAAAGTCTGTACTACAAAACGTCTCTGTAAGACAGCATAAAGTAGGAATATCGGTTTTCTTACCTTGAGTTGGAGAATTAAATGCCGATCCGATTTCGGATGATGTATCAGTACTGGATGAGCTGTGGGCTGGTGAAGTTTGAATTCGAAGAGGAGTAGCATAATCCAATGCACACATTACTACCTTTTCCATACCACTGCAATATCACACTATTTTTTATCTCATACCATTTCATATGTACTATGAACAATTAGTAAACAGTAATAAATAAAATATTATCGTGTCATGTGAATGTTATTGAATCTAAATTATTGTTTACTGACTTGGATTCAGTCTTTCCAGAAGTTATACCAGAAGCTGACTCTTCTGTATCTCCTGCAACATCGCTTCTTTCAACAGTAATAGCTGGTATAGAGGAGGATTCGTCGATTTCTGATTTATTAGACAAAATATTTTCATCGTCAGTTTTGCTCCTTTTTTCATAGTGTTTATCCGATTTCTCGGAATCGTTCGTGTTCTTTTCAGTTCCATCCTGATGGCTTAATTTAACAAGTTGTTGCAATGCCTCTAGTACTATCTGCCTGTTAGTCTTCAACATAGTTAATTTATGAGATATAGCAAGTCGCCTGTCAGGAACAACAGCCATTAAATTAAATCTTATATCCTGCAATTGTTCCCCTGTTGCCATCCCTAAGCGATCAGTGATTACACGTCTAAACTGTTCAGTCCACTCTTCATGTTCCTTCCATGGACCATGATCCATGGGATATGGTTTCAAACCATCCAATTCGAACAGTCTACCATTGATTGGTACATAACTGACAAAGTGAAAAGCTTCCCCGGTAAATCTACCAGTGGAGACTCCAGTATTTTTATCCTGGCGTCTTTTGGCTTGAGGCATTGCATGTGAATTATGTGCACATGCCAATTCAGGTGTGTTACCAATTGCCCACCCTTTGTTCTCGGGACACATTCCAGATGTATGCATTTTCAATCTGGATAAAGTTGTACCCAAATGAATATTTGGGCAATTAAGTAACACCGAAAGCAGTGCATGGGTTGCACAACTATTGGGCACAACCTGTCAGAAAAAATTCTCTAGAATTGTGTTCTCAGTGGTAAAACATATATAGGTGATGTTTATACGAATAACACACCTGTTGTGCAAAGAATATATTGTTAACAATTTCCTCATCTTTCACAAAGCTCTCATCTTGTTCTACAACTTTACGTCTGGATCTTCTCTCTTCTATCCAACGAAACAGAAATATGAATCCATATACCGGACCTTCTAATGATTTTTGCAAGTCATATATTTCTTCCACTTGCACACCCTTTACCCCAAAATCTTCCAACAATAATGTAAATAAACCTATCAATAGAAAATATATTAATATGTCTAACATATACAGAAAGTTTAATAAGACAAGTTTAAAACTTACAAGATAGATACTCACTAAATAAGAGTAAATAATCTGAATAAAATGAGTATAAAAATGACTTCTGAAAATCCCGACCACTTCTCATTTAACACCCTATATATTAACCCTTTAATACCATAAGAGAATACAAATACACCATTTCTCTTAAGGACAACATGCATATGGTGACAGTATAGAAACATACGAATTGATTTGGGTATAATTTCAAATTATTTGCTTTTAATGTACTTTAAGTCACAATATGTTATTCTTTATAATGTATGTGTTTTTAACTACAGCAACTTAAAATATTGTGTTTTCGTAACTCATTTAGGAGCTCCGATAATAGGAGTCATTAAAATACATTTTTGTGATGATTATCCCATACCTGGGTCACTTTCCAATTCTAGCCAACCTTCTGTCAATCGATTTATATCAACTGGCATTCTGTGTTGAGTTTAAAGTTCAACACTTCGACAAATTTCACATTCTTCCAGAAGTTTTGTTACAATCTCCGATAATTAAAGGCGCCATGTTACATCAAAACACATATCATGTGACCGAAGTCACGTGGTGAAAGAATCTTAAAGAAATATTAAAGTAATTTTCAATAATTAAAATTTTTTAACATATCATTACTTTATACAACTATCATTCTCGTTTCATCAATTTCTTACATCGACGTGATGGTAAATGCTTTGATTTTTTTTAATTCCAAAAAGAACGTGTTGCGTCGTATGTATACGACACCATAAAAGAATCGTAGTCCACTTATTCGATATTTACTGTCTATTCGTATTATGTAGTTTTCCATAAAATATTGCAACCTTAACAATAAATGTTATTATTCTATTCGGAAAATTGTATCAAACATCATAATTTATTTGATTCAATTTGATTGAATTTACGAAAAACTGATAGTAGCGCATTCTATGAACGATAGCAATAAAGTCCTTTGAATAGTAACTCCAGGTAACTCAGCCATGTATGTCGCATGGTAATGTTTTCAATTAGCTGACATTAAAAATAAATAATCAATATGAATATTTTTACACTAACGGTCAGCTTATTGTTGCTCGTTCAATTTTCGGCATGTACGTTGTCACCACCCAAGGGAAAAATAAATAAGAAAAGCAAAGGGAAGATCGAGATTAAGGTAAAGAGTACATCATGAAAATTTGTCAGGTATTAACTACCTAAAAACATATATACTTGTCTTAATTTTATTGAACATTTGAATTGTAGAAAGGACCAGGAGAGCAAGATGTTTTTACTCGATTGATAGTGGTGAAAAATCCTAAACCTCACGATATTATTCGAGAGTCTGGAATCTATTTTTTCAACACAACTCGAAGGCGATTTACCGGGGATGTTTTGGGGTATATTACCCCGGTACGATCATTTTACACTTCAGCAATTTTTATTCAAAGCCTTTACAGAGTTACATATGTTACAAATGCATAAAATTTAGTTGATTGGTTCCATTACTTTATTATCTAAATAGTGTTCAGAAAACAATGAATTAGTAGCCAGACTAATGTATATGTACATATTTTTGTTTTCAGTGGAATAACAATGGACTTGAAGTTTCTAAAATATTTCATGGAAAGTTTACAATGATATCGCCAGTGTGGTTGGCATTTCCAGAAGGTAATGCTTCTACTTATAAATTGTCCACTCACGATATTCAGAAGAAGTGGCTGAAGGAAATGAGAGCAGCAAATAATGAAGGTCACTATGTAAAAGGTATATGGAATTTCAAATACTAATGTTGAAGTACATTCATTGTATATTCTTATAAATGCATAAATGTTTTCTTAGTTTTACCAAGAGTACTATTTGAGCATTGGTCAGTCAGCGATATTGTTGGACTGTATAGTGATACTCAGAAACAAAGTGCAGTAATTTCTGCCCTTATAGATACAGCTAGGGTAATTATAAAAATATATATATGTATAAATATAATAACATTAATATTTTGAGAATTATTACAATAGTTTTGTTACTTTGTTTCAGACTTTCCACTTTGACGGATATGTTTTGGAGATATGGAATCAGTTTGTACTTACTGGTGTGGATGCACAGATTGTAGTGTCGATAATTCAATCAATTGCTCAAAAGTTAAAGCAAAACAGTATAAATATAGTTCTAGTGGTACCACCATCAAGAGGGTGAGTTTTGTTTGGCTATTTGTTATTGTGGTTTTTGTTTACATCGAAGAAACAGTGCAAATGAAGTTAAATATTATCCAACCTTTCAGCCCAAAGGTTCAGTTGTTCAATAGAGATCAGTTTGATCAACTATCCCCATATGTAAATGCATTTTCATTAATGACTTATGACTATTCAAGCATTCAACGACCAGGACCTAATAGTCCTATAGATTGGGCGAGGGAATGCGTAGAATTATTAGTACCTGAGAAGGGTCCCAAGAGGGCACAGATATTGCTAGGTCTTAATTTCTATGGATATAATTATACTCCTGAAGGTGGGGGAGCCATATTAGGTTCAGATTATCTGAGGATACTCGAGTCCTCTAAGGGAAAAATACAGTGGGATGACAACAGCAAAGAACACTTTTTTGAAGCAAAGTAAGACACACTTTCTTTCATCTTGAATGAAAATCGGGAGATAAAAAATTTAGTACCTTAGGCAAAGTTACTTTGATCCAGGTTGAAACTTAGGGATGTATTTCAGGTCATCAGGGGGCAGTGGAATTATATTTTATCCCACATTATATTCTATTCTGCATCGACTGGATCTTGCTGCAGAATTGGGTACAGGTATATCTATTTGGGAGCTTGGTCAGGGATTACATTATTTTTACGATTTGTTATAGATATTTTTATGAATATGAGAAATACATATAACATTGAAAGTATACAATGGTAATTACTAAATGTTCTTCGAATAATCAGTCTTGATAATATTGAATAGCATGACCTTTGTGCATTACCCTCTTTACATTTTAACGGTCAAAATCACATTTAAATTTTAATATTTTTATCACTTCCATACGTTACTGGGCATATGCACTGTTAGAAATTATTCCGAAGTTGTTGTTGTTTTTCAGTATTTGTTTCTCCTCTTTTTCTTTCATTGTCATCATAGATTGAGGTCCGCGTAAAATGTTATACATCAAGGCCCAACAGGATTTTGCAGGTAATAAGCTGGTGTCAGAGAAGAAAAAAGTAATTAGGTCTTCTGATAAAACTAATGAACTGTAACAATTATGACACCTTACTATTTAAGTGGCAACAGGAACCTAGTCGTCTTCGGCAGTACAATAACTGCTTGATTCACTAAAATTCCTGATACAACCTCCTCAGCTACGTGTTCGGGTTCTAACATTGGTATTCTGCAAATCGTGAATATTTTGCAGAAAATCCAGTAATTCGATTTAAGTTTAACAAATAATTACCTGGGTGTTACTCCTACAAACATATCAGTGTTGATATAAGCAGGACATACTAAGGTTGTATGAATCCCATTGTACCCATCAGCCTATATGATATTCCTTCATTTGTCATTAAGTCCTAAATCAAAATTATAAGGAATATAAAAATGATCTTACTCTAAGCTCACTGAAGAGGCTCTCGTGGTACCCAATAGCCGCGAATTTGGTAGCTGAGTAATCGGTACACTTGTAAGTTCCAAGAAGTCCTGCTACACTGGCCACAGTTACAATGTGACCATGATTATTCTTCATCATCTCCTTCATGAAAGCCTTAGTAGTCTGTTAAGTTATAAACATGTAGCAAATTTGCCACATACGTCATTTTTAACGAGATATTATTTCATTGAACTCACCCAATAATGTGACAGTATGTTAACTCTGTAAGTGCGTTCAATTTCATCATCAGGCAAGTCCATTAATGTTTTACCGTACACGTAGCCGGCATTGTTTATCAGTAGAGTGACCTATTAACATTGTAGCATATATTGACTTATCCTATAAGGAAGATAAATAATACGATTGGATAGTAGTTATTAGACATAGTCCAGAAGCGACCTATATCTTTACTTCGATTATACCGCGTACTTACAGAGCCTACTTCGATTTCCACCGTCTTTGCTGCTTTGTACACTTCTTCTTTGTTTGTAATGTCACAATAGTAACAACAACATTTTCCTCCATTCTCTCTTATCGCTCTAACTGTACTCTCCATGCCTGCAACTGGTACTCATAGAAATGTTCATACTTTCATAATCGGCGGTGAGATCAATCCGGACTCACCAGTTTTGTTAATGTCCCAGATGACCACGTACGCTCCAAGTTTGGCTAGTTTCTTGGCGATTAAACTTCCAATTCCACCTGCGCCACCCGTTATCAGAGCGATGTCCCCTTTCATAGATTTCGCGCGATAGTTTCGGGGAATGAATGTTAATAAAATCGACTCGATTATATAAACGAACGTCATTCCCACGAACACTATTACATCGTACATCACGTTGGCCCATTCCGGTAGCTCCATTTGTAATCCTGAACAGCAGGACGATAAATTTCTTCAAACCAACCACACAGTGTTTGGTTTGTTTTTTATGCCGAGTATTGCAGAACGACTATAAATGTCAGGTCGCCTAATACGAATTGCATTATAGCAATGTATGATGCGATTGCCTGATTAAAAGTTAAATTCGTGAAATTCAAATATCCACCTTTTCTCTCTCACAAAAAAAAAAAAAAAAAGAAACTTGGTATAGTAACCTTTAACGGTAGCTACAAATTATCTGTATTGCGGTACACAGGTAAAAGTAGAGGTACCGGTCTACGATCGAGCCACAGATTTGCGGTTCACCGTGTTATTACCCACGGTCAATGCACCAAGCTACTCGCGCGCGCGTTCAACCGAGGATGCATCGCCTATAGAATTTATTCTACACTCGTCTTTGAATACGTCAGATCGAATATTTATCGAGTCAATTATTTCCGAGGAACATCCTCTCGCATGGGTTACAAATATAGTAAGCGTGCGCGAAACACGTAGGTCTTGTTCGCGTTAATCTCACCTTTCGAAATTGAAATTATCCTTCGTCGCGGACGAGATTTGATCGAACCGGTACGGAAGAAAGCAATTCCATCTGATCGCGTTAATTTGGACAAACACCAGGTACCATTGTGCAACGGCATGTCTGAAGATAATATCAACATTTGTTGCAACAGGTGAAAGCCGGTTCGAATATGGAAAGCTGTGTTTGAGAAATATTCGAGAACCCGTGAAACAACACGTCTAACGCTAAAACAAACCCGTCACACTCAAACTTGGATCTTGTGAGACTAAAATCATTCACGGTCGAATTACAAGTCACATTTTGATTTTTGGCGGTTCAATTTTCATGATTCAGAAACAGTTTCCCGAAGACGCTAGGAACGCAATAATAACGTTGTCCTGAAGCTGTCAGGCTTTTCGTTCACCAAAATAGTATTACCGATTTAATAGTACGTGTTACGGACACTTTTACCGTTGATTCGTCACCACACCCACTAAGTTACCAATAAACTACACTATTGTTCAGTGTCGTTGTACACCATTGTTTCAATTCGGGTCGAATTAAATTTATAAGCAGGTGCAAATTTGAAGGGTTTGATTGCGGTTACCTTTTTTTAGATACTCGGTTAATATTTTCCGGATGATCGGTGAATTTCTTGTTTTTCGCCGCACGAAAGAACTGGAGATTGAAAGAAACAGTTATCACACGGTTGTGTGTCAGTTGATCGACTGATGTTGACTGACGCTGTATCCTGCGACGCGTTCGAATTGCAAGTCCCGCCGATGCTTTGCCGCGTAACTTCAGGCTCATTTCAGTGACGTATTTGGACGACCCGTGAAAGGCCGTAGGAAAATTAATTTGTCAATTTTATATTCGACCCGTGTGTCAAGTTACTTTATAATATTATCATGCTCTGTTTGTCGTACCTTGAACCGTAGACCAGCTTTATTCACGCGTAAACATTCACCCCAATTAAGTTAATGCAGTTGCACCCAGTGCATGATAGCATTAGTGGTGATTTCTTCATTGAACCAGTCGTTGCAGATTCTCTCTTCGTTTATAACGGTACTGGAACCCATCCTGGATACATCACTGGATTTACTATAGTCTACTATAGGCGGAATGCACGAATCGTGTATACTGCAAAATTCCTAATACCCTAGAAATAGCCTGTACCATTTTATGGTGAAAGTTCCCTTACCTCGTACCCACTGCGAGAAGCCCTGCACCGTCTTATTATTTCACGTTGAATCTATATTTTACGGTAAGATAGATTGTCACTATATAGAGCATGAAACAGCGAGGATATAACGGGTTGTTCGTATCATTCACTATCGTCAGTCAAGAAACTGATTCTCTGTTCTCTCTTGTGATCAATAAGCCTAGCACCTTGGCCAGGTGGTCAATCCTATGAAAATTTAGTTAAATTCAAATTTAAAAGTGGCACGGCAAAATTGAAATTTAAATTCAAATCCAAATCCTAACGGATTTCGACAAGCAAATGTCACGTGTCGCACAGTTTTCCGTGAAGGAGTCGATTTATCGTTATAGTGCGCCCTTAGTATGTAATTGTAGGAAGTAATGAAACTTCGTCGTCCGTTGTTACTAAATCTGTCGAGTGCAGGAAGTATCAACATTACGGAAGATTGTACGCGGGGCCATTGGATCGTAATCCATTCGTAACATGCGTAGTATTCCTTTAGGTAGAAAGTTACGAGATCCAGTGAATTCTAGCATTGCGCGTGTGCAATACAAATAACGATATTACGCTGCTTTATCTTGCACAATTGTAACGGAAACTTGCTCGTTTATTATTATTATACTATTATAGTATAATCACTTGATATAGGCGTGTTTGTATACATGCATATAATTGTTACAAAACATAATCCGCTTCGATACTTTACACTCGATCATTTGATGATTCAATAGAACATTTTTAAGTTCTCAGCCGAACACATTCAAAGCAATAATTGGATGTTCGAGGACTTATCAGCTCGTATTAAATTTCGACTTTTTCATTTTGTCTCGAATCTCGTGATGTTCGTATGTTTTGAGTGCTGAAACGGAGCTAGAGCGTCACGAGAGACAGGGGAAATTTTCGCGTGTTTGGTGAAAGGATCAGACGTTCAAGGCATCTAGGTCGATGGCTCTTTCTTTACGAAGAAAACAGGAATCTACAAGAAGCAAAAGCACTTGCATAGACTGCTTTGTGTTTTGATATCTAATTCCCGTTGTGCCGTGTCCGAGAAACTTCCTACTGTTTCGTGACTTTACACGTCATTGCTATCGGTCCTTTCACGAGTTTCTTAATATCCAGACCGAAGTTGAGAGGAAATTGCGAGGAAATTACATTAATTAAAATTTTGTAATTCCCCAACGAAAGAACTTAGTTTTTTTTTCGCAAAGGGGCGTCGAGCGACCACACCACAGTGATAAACCCGCCGGTACGGTTCATTGCACATGCAAATCGTTGCTTCTCGTAATGAGTCGTGCCTGAATCGATGAATAAATGAATGACAAACAACAGCGTGAACAATCATCGACTTTACCGTAGTCCTTCCGTGCGGGCTAGGACTAATAAATTTCTTTGTCGTTTTTGGCGTTCAAGGATCCCCGTGAATGTACCGTGAACGTGAACGGTACTCATAATGCACATCCTACGATCAGAGAGGTGCCCCTTTTTCGAACGTTTCTCATGTCCGACGATTTTGCATTCGAGGTTTGTTCAAAAAAAAAGGTGACTTTTTATTTTTCTCGAAAAATATTTATTTATTCATCAATATCTATTTTCTCCCCTTCAAAGTAATCCCCCTCAGATATAATACACTTGTGCCAGCGCTTTTTCCAATCCTCGAAGCACTTCTGATATGCTCTTTTTGGTATGGCCTTAAGCTCTTCCAGCGATGCGGTCTTTATCTCCTCAGTCGTGGCAAAACGCCGTCCTTTCATGGGTCTTTTCAGTTTTGGTAACAGGAAAAAGTCGCAGGGGGCCAAGTCCAGTGAATACGATGGCTGAGGCGTGATTACGGTGTTGTTTTTGGCCAAAAAATCACGAACAAGCAACGATGTGTGAGCAGGTGCATTATCGTGATGCAAAAGCCATGAATTGTTTTGCCACAAATCCGGGCGTTTTCTTCGTATTGCTTCACGCAAACGGCGCATAACTTGAAGGTAATATTGTTTATTGACCGTACGACCTTTTGGCAAGAACTCATGATGCACCACGCCATTGTGATCAAAGAAAACAGTGAGCAAAACCTTCACATTTGACGTCCAGGCGGGCATCGTCATTAACATCTTCTCGGCCTTCTGTGAAGAGCTTGTACCACTTATAAACAGTTTTTTTGCTCAAAGTAGACTCGCCAAATGCCACAGTCAACATTTCAAGTGCGTTGGAGCACTTAATTTTATTTTTCACATAAAATTTAATACAGATTCTTTGATCCATTTTTTTCGATTGCAAAAAATCGCCAAGCACACCAAAATACGTCTGGCTGATCATGTCAACATATGTTGGGAACATCTGTACCAACGTAACAAACAAACAAAAATCGAGAATCTAATATACGTAGTCCTCGAAATTTGAAAAGTCACCTTTTTTTTTGAACACACCTCGTATATTCGTATCGGTTCCTTGGACAATCGCTCATGAAGGATTTGCTCGTTCGGCAATGAATTTTTCTCGTTTCGTTCCTCATCGCGGCGCTCGCTTGAAAGAAAGAAAAAAACATTCGAAATAATTATGCAAATAGCGAAAGTAATATTGTGTAATTTTCATGTATATGAATAAGAAAGTGATATTGCGAAATTCTTATCTTATCGAGTTAACGATGTCATATTCAACGTCGTGTTATAATGATGAGGTGTGTGTGTTCGTCGGGGATAATGGTGAATAAGACAGGAGGATAATTACTGCTCCTTCCACGAATGTAATTCAGACATTTGAAATTTTGAATTTCGAAACGGTTGGGCTTACGATGCTGCCGGCTCCATCTGTCGGAGGTACGGCACAATCTTTCACTCGTACCGATAAATTAACATTGTACAGGTGTAGATAAATCGCGACGGATAAATTCCAAGTTCAAATTCGAATGGTAACGGGTGTCGAAATCGAATTGCAATTTCTTACGGTGAAATGCAAATTTAAATTTAAATAGTAAATGGTAAAGTTTAAATTCAAACTTTAACGGTGACTTCTAAATTGGAATTTAAATTTTAACGGCCGAATGCGGATCGTAATGCAAA